GTTTAACGCTAGACTTTGACGCATCGAGTTACAACTCGAAACGTCGCTTACAGCTTCTGTCTTTGCGGTCAGCTTCGATATGTCGCGCGTCCTACACCATTGCGATTGACGGACGACCACAACAGCGTCGCCGCAATCACTAAATGCAAAACCGATGGGTGCTCCGTCCCGTCCCGTCCCGTCCCACGGAATTCGGGCCCCTCGCGTTTCTGGCGGCTAATCCGTTTTGGCGTACAAATTGCAGCCGACGCGACACGCCGCACAGGCGTGTAACACGTCGCGATTCTTCGCGAAACCTCGACGTAAATGGAACGCGTGAATTTCACGAAGTGACGTGAAGACATGAAGACGAAACAATGACGGACTCGATAGGCAGATATGTAGACGGATAGATAGACAGATATAACCACGAAAAACCACGTTAAACCGCCGCATTAATGATGAATCCACTAAGTGATGATAAATCGTATTACACTGCAATGATGCCGTTAAAATTACACGTCGCAAAATGTTATTTCCTGCCAAAAAGATTTTTACTTTGTATTGCAGTTTATCTGTCGGAAAAGAAATTACTGTGGCATATGCTATAATACATATGTTTAAAGATATTTCAGTTTAATATGTATAAATATGAAAACATTAAAAACATTACGTGTATTTAATATTTATATTAAGTATTTGACATAATTCATTTTTAATATTGTAATATTTATTGTATATCTTTTAATGTGTGTTTCTACATATTAAACATATAAATATGAACGTAATATGCAAATATTAAACAAAAGTATTGAAATTTCGATTTTTTAAATATTAAAACGATACATTTATATTGCTGTCATATTATACATATTAACATGTCGTATTAATTAATCACATTGTATGGAAAGACTAAATGTCGACATACGTAAATATTTTACGATTACATGAATTTAATAATAATTTATGTCCAATTAGCATTATTGTCTTATCATTTCCTTTATATAGACACAAATAGATCCTCGTTCTAACTGAGAACACAACTAATCGAAACATACGCGGATAAGAATTTCAAGTAGAATAACCAGACAGACAGTCAGACCGTTCGTCTCCTGCACAGGTCAAGAGACCTGTCGTCGTCGTCGTTGTCGTCATGCAAGTTGCCATCGGCGCAGTAGCCATCGCAAAAGTTGTTCAGGGACAGAAGGAAACGAGCGGTCGAGAGACGAATCCAAAGTCGCTCCTGAAGAGGAACGAGCCTCGAGGGGTGCTCCGGAATATTTGACAACATGTTTCCCTAGACGGTCGTCTGAGAGGAATCTTGCCAAGATACATACGTACGTGCATATGTGTACGTCTTAGGATTTGCCACCATCTGGCCAAGCGAGTTGCTCCGTAGCATAAATATCGCAGTTTTCTTATCGCGCACGTAAATTACGGCACATATTTTTATTCTACATTGTCATTTAAAAAAATAGACGTGTCATTTGTGTTGATTTAAAAATAAATCAAAATAGTCTAATTGTGTCACATGAATAAATGAACAGCTTGAACGAAGAAAAAGTGCGATTGTGTTTAGATAGACATCTCTGTGAAAGAGAATTTCTTGTAACAATAATAACAATAACCGATTCAACAGGCCATAGAAATCGCTCTCGCAACATTATCAATAATGAAATTCAACGACTTTCCGATGATGGAAGTTTTTTAACACGAATGAGTTTAAATTTTACAAATGTCATATATGTTATGTAATGGCCAACAAATTTAGACGATTCTTACGTCACGCAAATCGTTCCTATTTGCCAGAAACCCTGCACATTTTTCATAAAATACGCCTTTCGTGCGTCAGCGAATTCTCCCACGTTTCGCGAAACATACCAACGTCCAGCGAGAGTTCTAATATCTCTACCGGTTTTCATTTGTGCTACAACTTTTCGCAAAAAGAGATACTTGTTGGGTCAAAACTTTAGGAAAAACCAAAATAATATTAATGGCTCGACCTACACCATCGATCTTACTTCAATAGACATAATATGTTGCTGAACGTTAACGTTAACAAAACGTAAACCTCGGCAAAACTAAATTTAAATTTAAATCAGAATATACATGTAATCAAAGATGTTAATATTCTTTAATGTCATAAACACGACAGTCGTAATAACGATGTGTTGTTTAAGTTAACGAAATGACAGGGCACTATCCACCTCTCCCGGAATGCATTTGCCGTGCCAATCTAATGTCCTTGAAGCACGATAAGCATGCCCGTACTGTTTAGGGCCACGAAATAACTTGAACTGCGCGAGCAAAGATATAAATGCCGGAACACCGTCTAAAGCACAATTAGCGAAGTTGGGACGGGAGCGGAGCGCATCCGAAGTTGAGCTGGGTGTTCCAAGGACTTAGCCGTTTCGCTGTCCGAAATAATAGCTGCAATGACATACATAGCTGCACGAGATACACGCCAAGTGCATGAAAATTCATCGACAAGCCGCATGACTGTGATGCAATGCGAGAAACGTAAAATCGCGCGGAGAACGCGCCAAGATCAAATTTTTTTATACGCGACGTCGACGGTGAGCTTTTCGCCGCAGAAAAATGCCGAGACAACCGCGGCTTGATGCAACGCATTTCAACGAACATCTCGTTCAGTTAACATTTTTTGTAACGGATTCTTCCTCTACTTCACGGCGCGATCTCGAATACTACACAATGACCGTGTCTAATGTCGCACAGCGATACAATTGTTTCGCTTAGTATGCCAGCGAACCTATATTTCATTAATGTCACGCGCGATAAGATATTACTAGAGGAAAATATGTAGTTTTTGTTTTATCATTTTCAGAATCTATAACGATGTTCTACTATATACTGAAAAGATAATCTTGTTCAAAACATTATCGACAATAATGTAACAATAAACCGTTATCTCGGGATAAGTCGGATCGTTCGTCGATGTTAATGTATTCAAAGCATGATACAAGCATGATTCAAAAACGCACTTAGCGAGGAATATTTTGCGCAACTCATACGAGAAACATATGCTCAACTAGGCATTTTTAACTCGATATTCTTATATCTCTTTCGTATTGCGGATAATGCATGTAACGTGTGTAAAAAAATCGGTTGTTATCACAAGTTATGCACAACGGCGCGATGAATCTTACATACGACAGCCCGGAGTCGTTGGAAGTGCTTCGGTATTATTCAGCGAGAAGAGACACTTTCTTATTGCAAGATATATTCGGAACTGTCAAGCCAAACGCGAAATCTCAGATAAAGTGCTACATTTTCAATAATTGCATTGTCCGAGTGCAGAATCTCGATGAAGCAACACATTACGTAATATTTTTTAAATTTTGTACCGTGCTGTAAAGAGACAAACATTATACGGACGTTGTACGAATAGCCGGCCATAAATATATGCAGTCAATAAATGGGCTTGAAAAACGGAATGAATTAAATTGAACGAAATGATTGGAAACGTGATGTAGTTGAGAGTCGAATACATATATCGAGAGGATTTAATTCATTTTGCTTGAGGCTGCTATTAATGCAGAATTAATGTAAAATTTTGCGTTTCATACACGTTCCGTGAACTCGATCAATCCAGTTCCCAAAGTCGCTCCGAATTTCTATTCATTGTACGCGCGTTAAAGATATCAAAGAATCACCGTGTCTTTATTCAGTTAAGTTATGTCATTAACAAATGGAATGCAATATTATAAAATATAAATAGTATCTGTATTACGCTCGTCGTCTTTTCTTTAATCGAGCTCTACTATTCCAAATTAATACTTGCTCTATTACTTGACATTTTTCTATCTATAGTAAATTTTGTTAATGTAATGACTTAAAAATATATGACATAATACAGTTCAACTTGTGATATCTGTTTGAATTTTGTTCGATTTATTTTTTTGTCAGTGCAGTTCTATCAAGATACATGATTCTGAATCTGTGAAATATGGCCGATTTTATCGCGTGAAAATGATCCTTATTCACGGAGATGCAATCAACTTGAAGCGAAGCTACGTTTCTTTTACGCAATGGCACCGACACCGACACTGCACTCTGAATTCAAATCATAAAGTTCGTAAGAGACGACCGTCTGTAACTGTCGAGCAAACGATTGCTCGCGAACCGCGTGCGCAATGGCGCTCAATTTGGAGATTGGTGTCCATTGGAATTGGAAATGAAATTTCGTAGACGTACAAATGGGAGCGAGCACAGGGTTGCAACACGTTACGGCGGTAAAGTGCGAGAAATGTACCGTACGCGCCATCGATTTTGTGGGTGCCGATTTATGTTTACGGATCCACCTTCGGTACACAGCTGTAAATGATACCGCGTGGGCAAAAAGAAACTCGTATATTCCATCTCGTTGTCATCGTCACCGTAAAGTATCTATCTGGATACAGATTTTAGCAATAGCACAAACGGCGTAAAATGTATCAATAGATTCGAATGATTACAGAAAAATATTATCTTAATGTATTCAGACACTACATATTAACATATATGCATAAATGTATATACTAATGTATTTATATATATTCGAAAATAATTGTTAAATTGATGACTAGATTATTTCCTTTGGAAAATAATTATTATTATGGCGTATATACTAACAACAAGCTTATTAAGATCTTTCTTTATTAAAAAAAAATGTATTTAACTTTTGCATTACTTTAGACGTCTACTTTATGAATTTTGTGAAGGGAACGTGCAAAAGTTTTTCTCTTCTTTCTTTCTCTTATCGCAGGGTTACAGATGTTGGCTATGCAGCGTGCAACATAGACAAAAGTAGAAACTCTCGGAACAGCCTTATAGTTAAATGTCTCAGTTGGCGCGCGAATATAGCGGAGTTTAATCAGGGTAAAGTGTGCGGCGAAAAGTCATCAACTTCCGGAATTTCGCTATGATTTACCTATCTCCTGAGCAATAAAAAGCCTCGCGGACTGCGTAGCCGGTATATGATGCATAGTGTTAATAACGTTCGTCATCTCTTTCTTACTTACCCCCTTATTCTCTCTTCTCAACCTCGCTCCCGTTCGCCAAGCTTCCAGTGCACTTTTTCCTTCGTGGCATCCACATTTTCTCCATTCCTTCGGTTTCGTTTCTTCTCCGGTAATTTCCCCTTTTGATTCAGATTGGAGAATATTCTGTCGGAAAAAATATATACACCTATATAAATGCATACTCTATAAACTGCTGAGAATACTTGTTAATCATTCAGATCTCTTAGTGTGACGAAAAAGATGTTAAAATATATATAGGTTTTAACTCTACATTACATATGTTCCGAAATCTTTTCTTATTTATTTATTTTTATACTGCCAATGCTTTTTGAATGATTTTTTTCTTCTAAATAATCCTCAAATTAATCTGAAGTGCTATATCTTTATATAGCTTTAATATCTGAATTATATTACATAAAATTATTTTTATTATTTTATTCTTTATATATCTCTTTTACCTATTTTACACGTTCTGATGCAGAAAAGCTTCGAATCAATATTTAAAAACGGATATCGTCTTCTGATCATAATAAAATTTAACAGTCAACAATTGTCATAAGAGAAATGTCAATATCTAAAATGTTATTTTAGTTATCGAGTTATTTTCAATTCTTATTTACAAAAAAAAAATGAGATAAAAGCAAATCGATAAAATAAAAATGTAGAGATGTTACTGGCTGCTAAACAAACGACTCATTAGCACGTCCGAATTTAATGATTCCAGAAAATCACATAATCAACACAAAATTGTTCTAATACGCTTTTCTCATTGACGAGATATTTAGAATTTCTCGTATTATCGAAAGCTAGTCCATAAGGGCAACCGATAAATTAACGACGTATAATATCGCACATTATGTCGCTATAAAGATAATTGCGGCCGACAATGCAAATGCAAGTATAATGAAATTTACACAAACCAGGGCAAACGGTATTAATGGTACAAATGATATTGTTACATTATCCGATACATGTTTAAGCGAAGCTCGTTCATGGCTAAATATCACTGTGACGTTGTATACGCGCGCGTAGAGTTATTGAAGGGGACTGTGTTATACGTTTCCAAAGACTGCCTGCCATTGCGGACCGTTTAATTCTTCGAAATGAATAACATCGCATTTAAAACATTACCATCCGTAATAAACTAGGTCGCGCGACTCTCGTATTCTTGTTTTTGTCCATTTATAATTAATCATCTCCATAATTAATCGTGCAATTGCTGACACACGCAAATAATATATCTGTAATATGCGACTCATCTTCCCTAAAAATTCTAAGAATTATATTACAGTATAATTATATATCTGTTACAATTATTATTAACACTTGAATCTCTTCTTGAGATGCAGATCGCTCGAGATGCAAACTGTTTTCCTTAAATTCTTAGATTATTTCATTCTGCCATTTATGATAAAAATATTGAAAATTATTTTTTAAAATAATTTTGTTCTCGATATAATAATCAGCATTCAGATAATATATTTTCATGACGCATATAATATCGAAAAATATACAGCTGTCCCTCAAGCGAGGTTAACGCGCGAGTCAATTAACTGAAAAAACTTTTGCGAAAGAGCATTTGTGAATATTCGGAAATACGAGCAGCGATTCGGACGTCCGCGGACAAACCGATCGAGATTCAGATTTACACGATGAATTTACACGCACTCGCGCGGGTCGACGACGATCGGCTGCGTGATACGCGGTCGCCTCGCGCGAACGTGTATTCTGCAGATGCAGACATTGCAGACACCATGCAGACGTACACGTATAAGTACGTATATATAGGTGTATGCACGCGAGTCACAATAGAACAGTCTGTTGATACGTAACGATATCTCTGTACCGTCCGGAGACGGCGACAACGCGACGCAGTCGCTAACAGACCTAAACAACGGCGGTCCTTATCGCCTTCGCGTATTCCTGTCGTCTATCGCCGCCTGCGCGCTCGTTGCACATTAGAGAACGACGTGATCGTCTTCACCGCGTGTAAGCGCGCTTCGATGCACGCGGGGCGGACCGAATTGTCATTCGAATTTTATTAATAATTAATTAATTAAAAAGTTATCGAGAAATTATATCGACATTTCGATCGTCGCCGCTCGTGAAAACGCGGCGTCCATCCTTATAAGTCTTTAAAATAATTTGTATTCAAAGTTTTAATTATATACCTATCAATTAATCATATTTATAATGGTATATTTCAAGCCGATCAATTTAGACTCGCGCAAAACAGACAAGTGCGAATCGAAAATTCAGAGTGGACTCTTTTATTATACGTATTCAAATGGACTCACCCTCGCAAATAGAAATAACCTCAAATGAATCGTACCGATGTATTCCTTTTCGCGCGCGCACGCGACAAGATTTCGCGATTTCTCGGCGCATTTTCGCGCAGCTTGCGCCGCGCTGCGATTCGTTGTAACGCGGAAAAGTGAGATGAACAATAAAACCGCGACGCGGACCTCGAATTTCAAAAGAATAAAACTTTCGTATCGTTACTTTCACGCGCGTAAAGTTAATAGTTTCGAAGACTCCGAAGAACTGAACTACTCCAAAGTCCAAAGTTACATGGTGGCACCATCTCACGTCAAAACTCGACACCCCCTGTCAAGTGGCACAAATCAACTATATGATAAGAGACACAAAATACCATCAGAAAGAAGCGTTCTCTCTGATACCATCATTCAATAAATGCAGCCGATGATATCAATGCGCGATGTTTCAATTAATATCGACAGAACTGCGAGAGCCACGTGATTAAATATTTGGATGTTTTTAACCTATAAATAAATTTTTATTAAAACATAAAGTGTTATTAAATAAAAAAATACTACAGCGTTTATTATAGTTTACCATTATTTAGATATTTTACAGATATTTATTTACATATGCAAAAACATTTATATATAAAACTACATTTGTTGTCATTCGCAGATCGCATGTGCGAATCTGATATCTAACCACAAAAAGACGCTAAAATGGAAAATTCGAACGCTTGTTATGAATTTTTATTCTAAACGCGATGTGATATGATGTTTGCATATGAAAGAGGTTTTCCTCAAAGTTTCGCGAGCATGAGCAGGTCGACGATTACGATAAATTTTGTACGCGTGTGACTAACCTCTCTGATTAGACAATCGTTTGCCGAAAAGTGTTGCATTTCTGTCAAGTGTTGTATTTAAAAAGAAATCAGAAAGATATGGCTGGTACCATGAGACAGTTGGAGGAACGTCAGCTCCCTGCGGAGGTGACGACGATGCTGTGGTCACCGAAAATGGATCTTTTAGCAGTTAGCAATGTTAAAGGTTAGGTTCTAAAAACAGATGCTGTAAAAATTATAATCATTAATTAAAATTAATTTATTTTGTTTCTTTTAATAATTGTTCATGAAAAACAGAATTATTTGCTGCTTTTAGCAGATGTTTAACGAATGAATGAGAGAGATTTAATAAAAAAAACTGATCGTTATCCGTAATGTAAAATCTTACAGGTGAAGTTGTCCTTCATAGACTCACGTGGCAAAAAGTATGGTTGTTGAGCCCTCAAGACGAATCCGATGTCACTGCTCATTTGGCATGGAGACCAGATGGAAAGCTGCTTGCGGTTTGCTATGAGATTTCCAAGCTACTGTGTCTTGTTGACGTTGAGACTAAAAATATCATTCATAAAGTCAAATTGCCCACAAACGAACTGACCGTTTATGTCAAGTGGTTGTCACTCTCCAATACTGAACACGAAGGTTCATTGACAAATGATAAAACTAATAAACCTACAGGCGAATATCTGCCACCTCTGCCTAGTTTAATCAGAAGTTATAGCGCAGAACCTGAGCGGAAAGAATTTTTATCCCACATCCTAGATATGCTCTTTGTAAATATCACAAGGCACAATCTTAATAAAATCGTAAGCATTTGTGACTTTATGATTAATAGTCATATTTATTTTTTATAGATTGGTCAAAAAGATGGTACGGCATTAATGTACATTTTTGGTATGTTTTATTGTGGCACTATAACTGTAGGCCACGGACCAATCTTGCAGATTACAGGCGGATATAATAATCCAATATGGATTACATGGAAAGATAATAATTGTGTTAAGATAACTAGAATATCATGTCCATTATTTGACAGAAGCACAGCGCTTCTCAAGGTATTTTAAAATCGATTACATATATAATAAAGATTTAAAGCAAAAGGCAAATCGTTTCTCAAGTATTATGCATGACAATTTAGAATATGAAAGGACATTGAGTCAACTGGAATATATATTTTATTCTCAGGTTGCGCAGACTCAAGCCAACATAGAATGTTTGAAAGATTATCTCTCACGTACCTTAATGGCTACTTGTGAAGCTTGGGAGACAATACTTTTGGAAATGGATGAAAAACTTACCCGGTATGCAGAGGCAAATCCACCTGGTACTATGTCTGCAGACTTTTTGGAACTATTGATGATTGGAATACCCACGAAAAATTTAGAAACTTTTCTACTTAGAGATCTCACAGAGAAAGGATTAAAAAAATTCGGACACAGTATTGAAATGTGTTATAGTAACATACAGGTATGTTAAAAAGTACTAAATTTTTTTTAAATTTAATTATGTATATTGCACATTTGTTAAGAATTCTTTATTAAGAATGTTTGAACATAAAGAAATTGTTCTTCTAGAAATTAGTTTCCAAAAATTTAACTAGCGTCGGTATGGCTCTAGTTTATCAATTAGCTGAATTGAGAGGCATGGTGAGAGCAGGTGGCACGTACGAAGCACTAGGATTGCGCGATGAAACACTCATAACTAGTGCTATTAATGAATCTGAAGCTTTTCTAGCAAAATCATATGAGATTGAGCAAGTTATAGATCAAAGTATGCGCAATTACAAAGCATTTTTTCGGTACGAGTCAAAAACTTAATAATCAATTAACTTATGTTATTTACATTTAATCAGTTTTTTTTTATTGCATTTCTGCAGATGGTTGTACGTAGCTATTCTCCAACTAACGGATGAAAGAGCGCCATCGGAAGTAAGCCGCGTAAGTCAGCAGGAGTTGACATTTATCGCAGAATTTCTGAGTGACTTTGACAAACCAAAAGCAAACGGCAGAGTAAATTTGGAAAAATTGGGTCAATATTTGCGTCACGAAAATCTGCAGACTCCCCTGACTTCGGAAGGAAGCGAATGGGCTGCGATGCTCGATGCAAACGATTGCTTACGCGACTATGCCCATATAGTAAAGCAGAATTTTAATTTATCCTTACTACAGTCTCATGTAAAATTAGTCGCTGCTATAGAAAATGTTTTTGTTGAAGCCTATCAGAGCTTAGTTGATCACTTTGTGATGATTTCTATCTCTTTACCGTCATTTACATCTCTTATATCTTCGCAAATTGTAACAAACGATGGAAATCTTTTGTTAGCTATGAGCGATATCGATAGCAAATTTTTGAGACTTTTCAACATAAGATACTCGTCTGTAGACCCTGTACCTCTTAGTTCAAAGATGATCACGATAGATGTGAGTCATAAGCAAGGTTGGTAGCATGTGTTACGTACAATTATATATTGAAAATTCACTTCTCCATTACATTATAAAAATAATTAACTTTTCTGTATGTTTAGGAGAATGTCCGAAAGAAAACGTCGATACTGTGATAGTAGATTTGCAATTTTACTCGCAAGATTATCTTAGCTTGCTTATATTAAATAAACAAACTCATGCATCGTTTCTTATACAAATGCCATTACATAGCATATCTACGCATGAGTATCAAGATAATGATGCAGTGGTGTCGATAACTGAATTCATTGGTGCAACATGGCCGAAACCATTTCAAGGAATATCTGCGAGACGACTAGCAGTCAGTGGCCCTCGGAAAGTAGCTGCTATTTTGAATGAAAACAATAGAAAGATTCGTTTACTCGAAACTGAAGCGGAACCCGAGGACGAGGAAGATGATGAGGAAGAAGAAGGACGTTTTGTAGAAAATATGATGGATACCACACCTAATGCAAATTTTCCTGCGGAAACAGCAAAAACTGATGTACAAGAATTCTATAAGGAAGAAAACAACTAACGTAGAAGTAGAATATATATTTAAGGTATGAATAATTTTCTTATATATACAAAAAAATTACAAATAACTTTTCGTGTAATTGAAAAATCTTGTAATTTATTTGTTTTTTCTAAAAAGGGATTTTAAACCTATTTTGAATAAATACAGAGTTATTACAAGATATACTAAAATACATGCTTGCAAAAATTAACTAAACATTACTTGCACAATAACGGAAAAAGTACCGAGTATAATTTATTGCAATATGTACATTTAAGCTAAGGGTAAAGAAAGCACTAAAATATAATAATGTAATTTCATACACAATAGAATTACAAATTATGGTATCGCTTGCTCCTTTTGCATTTGTTTAAACACTTTAGGGAAATCGATATCAAGAACAGCGTTATCCATTCCTGCGTTTTCGATACCTGATGAAACACCAGCTGTATTATCTGGTGTATAACGTACTGGAGAATTTTCTCTCGATTCCTCCAGATCTGAAAAAAAAATTAAATAATAATCCTATTTTCATCATGAAAGTGCATCTGAAAGTCTCCTTTCTGTATATTAATTTTTAATACAAAATTACCAAAGAATCTTTGACTTCTTTTTCTTTTAACAGTAATAATTAGAAGAACGACAGCTACAGCAACCACCAGTACCATAACAGCAGTCATTCCCCGTAACAGGTTTGTCTATTCAAATATACATTTTAATAAAATGTAGATTTGTGATTATTTTTTTATATATTATATATTAAAATACCTCAAAATCATTTTCCCAAAGTTGCTCCCAATCGTTTGTAACTATCAATTCAACAGAATGAACTTTTAATTGTGAATCGTCAAATAAACCTTTTGAAAAACATTTATAAAATCCAGATTCTGCTGTTGACACACCCTATAAAAAATTGTGAATATAATTTAAAATATAAAATTATATATTAATAATAAATTGCTATTTAAAAGAGAAGAATTTTAGAATAAATCTAAAAACTTACTCTGATTTGAAGCAAGCCAGTCAGTACTTCATAATTGTATTTTTTTTCATTTAAAGGATTTCCTGGACCAATAACAGTGTTGGTTCCAAATTGCCAGAACATGAAACGATGATGCTCATCGATACTTAAGCATGGAAGCTCAGCCAAGTGTCCAGCTATCACTTCTTTCACTGTTACTATGTCATTTGCAGTTTCGGATTTTTGTAATATAAATGATAAATAAAAAAGTATAAAAAGCCACATTGTTACCTACAAATTAAAAAATGAAAATTGTTAGAAAAATTTATATAGATTATATTTCACAGTTTAGTTAGAGAGAAAGAAAGAATCAAAAACATTTTTTTTTCTTATATATCAAATTATACCTGTATATGTAAAAAAAAAAGTGAAAATGCACTCTAAAAAATGTTAAACTTATATAAAAATATGTTCAATTACTATATTCTGTCACAATCAATGTTGGTAGACTATTAGATATTACTAGCCTGTCTTCTTTTATAATTACAATCTAATAACATTGATCACCTTTTTCACAGCTGTTGCAAAACCAGTTTGTTTTTCACAGATGATTGTCACAATAATTATACAATACACAATACAAAACAAAAGGCTTTTCTGAGTGAATGTTGTGTAATCATTCAGAAGAATTTTTTCTTTCTCTCTCTTGCATGCAATTAATGAATTGCTTCTATTTTTTTCTGTACAATTAATTCACTGGCAATAACATTAACATAAATTAATGATTATAAAGTGGAAAACACACTTTCATTTACTGATGAGAGGATTGCTACAACAAGCACTGCCATGGAGTTGCTTATTTATAACTCTGTCCTATTTGGCCTTGTGCAATACTAAGTATTTATAGTAGACTAGACCTATACTTTACAATTGCTGTATGTTCTCAGATCCTGTTATAAATCAATCTAATCTTACAAGAAAAACCTAGCTTTATGTTTGAATGAATGAAACAGCTGGATATAAAATATTTTTATCTTTTAATATATAAATTAATATACAATATATGAAACATAGACACATAATGCTTTATTATTCAATAACAATGTGTAAAATATAAATTGAAATTTATAATAAAAATAACAAGTACATTAACATTAATTATATAATATATTTGATTCTGTACAGCAAGTATATATACACAAGATAATTTTTTATTAACATACATACACGTCCTTAAGTAACTTGAAACAAGCTGAACCTCATCCACTGTCAATATGTAGTTTGCAGCATCAAATGGAAAATAACATCTACGGCTAATAATGGAAAAAGTAGCCAGAATGGTGCCAGTACCGCTTTGGCTGGTAGAGACCATTGAGGGGCCTCCAATTTCAGACAAATTAAGATCTGAGCACATAGTTTCAAGATCACAGCTACCATGTACCGCGTCTGAAAGAATTTTATTATACATTAAACTCATTGTACATTAAACTCTGATTTTATTTTATTAGCTGAAAATTTTTTGTATTATTAGGAGGATTCCTCTTAATTATTACGATTCTTTAGTAACATAAAATATATTTTAAATATTAAAATAAATGTATGCGTAAACACACGTTTGACTGACAATGAAATATTTTCAATTGCACGAGGATGAAAGAAAATTTGTCTTGCCAAGTCATAAAATACTCACTTCTCGTTGCAGACTAAAGGTATGTCCATTCTTGCAGTACGTAATCATGTTGAAAACAATATAAATAAGAAGAATGTTGTCGTAAAGCCACATTGGAATGAAAACGATGAACCAATTCCATTGTATTCTCTGATCAAGCCTCAAGACCAACAGAATTAAGAATATGAGCAAATTGAACCAGGTGAACAACGCTCGGTGTAAAACCGCCATGGAAGACTTATATTTAATTAATAGTATGCAGTTTCATAAAGCCCATGCGTTCGTGTATTAAGTTTTGACAATTCTAACCTCTAGCGACAAACAACTACGTGTCCTGTTTTATCAACAAGATATCACCAGTCTTTAGTATTTCAAAGAACCGTAAGATGATGCTGCAGATTCAATTTTGTATTATTTGTATTAATATAATTATCAATAAACTAACTTTTGCAAATAAATCATTTTTTAACGATATTCAAGATGATGAGAAGTCAAATATAAATCTCTAGAGTTACTACTATTATTAATTATTACGTCGCATGAGGTTCAGTGATTTACAATGACCTTATATATACATATACAATAATTCCTCGTATCACGATAATAAATTATATGCTCAACATGCACTCTCGCATTAATGAACACAATTAAATTACAGTGTCGAATCTAAGAATCCGGCCACCTATAATTATATTATAGGTATACATATATTCTGAAAACGTCAAGTATAATCTCTTTTTAATTGATAGAATTTATTTATTTATTTATTCATATTGAAATAAAATATTATGCCTATATAATTATACTTTTCTATATAAATAAGAGAAATAAAAATGCCACATTTTTTTGTTCGACAGGGCAAACATCTCTGAATGTGCGCTTATTTAAAATATTTAAATGCGTGAGGAGAATGCAAGTCGAGAGCTTCAATTTACAGAGTGGCAATTATGAATTAATATTGTCATTTTTGATTAGAGAAAGACTCAGAATATTATCTATAAATCCAAAACGTAGAAGTCTCGACCATACATGATCGAGATATATACATCTCGAGTCTTGACATCCTTGAACTGTCCAAGAAAAACAAAGTCAGCTACATATATATCTATATATATACGCTGCAGCGTACCACCAGCTAGGCACCAGCTGATCGCTTATCGGCGACCAATAGAATCACTCGTACTAAAACGTCACTGTAGAGTGTAGAGATCATGAAACGACAGCGGACAGTCGCGTATCTCACAAAAAACGTTATACATATTGCCTGTATATGTTTACAATATTAGTGGCTAAGAGAATTCCAGAATAAAAGAAAAAAAATTACAGAAGCACAGGAAGACAAATGCAAGAAGGATACAATTACGAAGGAAAGACGAAAGAGGAAGAGAGAATAAAAAAAAGGAAAAAAGAAAAATAGAAATTTATTAAGCATTACAAGTTGTCTATATAGTCTCTATATTATTAAGCATGTTTTATCTATATTATTTCAAAATAATTAATATTTTTAATATTGTTAAAGATTGTGCGCGTTATGCAAGGTAATTGCGAAATTATTTAGGGCCTAAAATGCCCCTTCGTCTCTATATGAACAATGTAGGTGGGTAAAAAATGTTTATAGTTACATCACTGCCGCGCAATGATAAATAATGGTACGATACTACGATGTATCTCAACTCGACCTGCAGATTCTGACTCGACCATGCATATTATTATATACTCGAGAACGCGTGAGAACACGTCGATCTCTCACTTCCTCTTCGTCTCTCTTGTGAATAAATCTGTTCATTAATCGAATAAATATAATAACGTACGCCAAAAGCAACTCGCAGAAATTTGTGTGTGCGCGCATCCTCGATGAAACTGGAATATTAAAATATGAACGAGACAATCGATGATTCTCAAGTATGTATATATTTTTATTATTATATATAAAGATTTTAATTTACTATATACATTGGAATTAAAAAAATTATCTCATTTTTCACGACGCTTCTGAAATTTTGATACATTTAATTATCAAGAATATAAAACAATCATTCGATTTACTGCAAACACGCAGTTGAACAATTATGCGTGTACATATATATTTTCTCAGTGACCACGTACACTTGACGCAGGTAGATCTTCGTTGTTTGTGTTAAGTTGTGTAATTGATTAATTGACATTGAATCTCGACGTGACGGGACGCTTTGAGATATTGCGAAATTGCATCTGAAAAATAAATGCGAATGAAGGAAGGTCACCAGTAAAACTCGTTTTTACATAATCAGCAAGATAAAAAAAAAGAATTTAAACATGGAATTGATTCATATGCTAATCGTTAATATGCTTGATGTGTTTATTATACTTTATACGTATGATAATCATATCAATTAAATTATTATAATGCCGTCCGTAATATTTTAAATAAAATACATTTTTAATTATTTATGTATTTAATTTTGGAAAAGAAAAAAAAAGAAAATACCAGCTTAATAAATATTTATTAAGCTGCAGCATCTGTATCTAGTATTTTGTTAACGCGAATGGAATTATTAATTTTTTGTTATTAATTGTTATATGGAAAGAAAAAATCGAACGACGAATTGATATATATATATATATATATATATATATATATAATAGATACAAATATAAGAAATTCTGCTGATCATTATATATTATAGTTAATCGCAATTTTTGTCGAAGTTGCTCTAAATTAAATGAATCGATCAAGCATAATTAATCAGCATGAATCGATATATTATAATACGTACATATAGTCAGATATTTTGAAAAAGAAAAAATATATATAATGAAAGCGCGTAGAGCATGCATGCAAAACGATCGAGCTTGACATTTGCATTTTTCGACGACGCGAAATTAATGATAATGCACCGAGATATGCACATGCACTAGGTATCTCTCGCGCAGATCGGCCGATGACAAAAAGACACGCGCTTTTAGCTTAAGGTAATATCGCTGCGAGTAATGCGCGGCTATAAATATGCGCGCCTAATGGTGGTCCTGTTCCGAAAACGCGAGAAGCCGAGTCTATTTTAACGGGTTAGAGCGAGTTCCGGAGTCGACGGCGCTCGCAGACAGACGCCAGCGAGTCATCGGCAGTCATAGAGGCAGTCATCGCCCTGGCGAAAGTCGATCTACGATCTCGATCGCGCGAGCTCGCGCCAAGCGTCTTCGTAGTTCCTAGTACGCGCGATCTCCTTCGCGCTGCCCGGCTAACCTTTAACCTCTTGGTCCGGTCCACGTGCACTATCAACAATCGCAATGTCGAACGTACGAACGGTGGTAAGGTCCCGCTTCGATCGATTCGATCTCGCGTACGATCATGCAAATATCACGATATCGTTACTCGATTGTCGCCAGTGATAATTTGTTTGCACTTTGCACATGATAGGCGTGGTGCTCTCCTTTCTTACCGATGACTTATTGTTAGTCAGAAAACTCTGATTTTTGACAGGAATGTATCTCCCTGGATGCATCTTATCAATTTGTGTTTGGATTCTGTAAAAATGCAATTAAAAACTTTTGTGCGAATATTAATTTTTATGTAGGGCATTATCTATTTATATCCCTGAAGCTTAAGCTACAAAAATCCTTGAATTTTAACAGAGAATCTATTTAACATAAAAAAATGTTAAGTACACGTTTGTATTTCAAAAAAGGGATACAATTTTATAGAAATTGAAACTGTAGGGACGTTATATGTATATATATATGTGTTAAGTATATATTAAAATAAAATTTATATTTATTCCTAGATGCTCCCAGTTGTGGCTGCGGTAGGAACGGTAGCAGTTATAGGAGTAGCACTTAAAATATATAAGTTCTGGAGTGACAAGAAGAAATCTTCGCCGATACTACTGGTTGATCCAGTAGTTAAGTATAGTCTACCTCTAATTCAAAAGGACATAATAAGTCACGATACCAGGAGGTTTAGATTTGGATTACCAACGTCAAATCATGTCCTGGGTCTGCCGATCGGTCAACATGTACATTTAACAGCAAAAATTGGAGAGGAGGTTGTGATACGTTCGTATACGCCTGTATCAAGTGATGATAATCAAGGCTACGTTGATTTGGTCATCAAGGTAAATAAAATGGCAACATAAGATTAGCGATAAAGAAAGAAAATGTGTTCTAATTGTGCGTGATTTGAATTGTAGGTATACTTCAAAAATGTGCATCCAAAGTTCCCCGAAGGGGGAAAAATGTCTCAATATTTGGAAAATATGAATATAGGGGATACCATCGACTTTAGAGGTCCATCTGGTAGATTGATTTACAAAGGACAGGGAAAGGTCACTATAAAACTTCTTAGGAAGGAACCACCCGTGGAATATAACGTTAAAAAGGCAAATACATTTGCTATGTGTATATATATAATATTGAATATAATAATATTACTTATTTAATCATATTACTGTTATTAAAAATAATTTTATTTTTAACATATGTATATAAATTTATGTAAATTTCTGTACAGATGGTTATGCTCGCTGGTGGTACTGGCATCACGCCGATGTTGCAGCTAATTCGTGCGATAATAAAAGATCCTACGGACGAAACTCAAACCTCTTTGCTGTTCGCCAATCAGACAGAAAAAGACATCTTGTTACGAGATGAATTAGATGAAATCGCCAAAAAATATCCGAATAAATTAAAACTTTGGTATACCGTAGATTCAAGTAGCGAAGGATGGCCTTACAGTACAGGATATATAAGCACCGATATGATTGAAAAACATATGTTTCCACCGTCATCTGATACTATCGTATTGATGTGCGGGCCACCTCCGATGATCAATTTCGCTTGTACTCCGAATCTCGAAAAACTTGGCTATGATACTAAATTGCGGTTCGCGTATTAATCGATTTAATCGATTACTAATCAGACAGTTTGTATCTGGTGGAGATTTATATGCTTTTAGTAAACTACTTCCGTAAAATTAAAGATCAGTTTTTCGTTCAACTAAATGTATAATCAGCTTCACATTAACGAAGAACATTAAACAATGTGGTTATGCCAATTAGAGAGAAATATGTTGGAAGATTTCCAGCAGAACTTATTCATAAAGACACCTCCAACAGTATTGATTATTATATAAGTATACAGTTGTAAACTTACAATATAATCAACGAAATGCAGCCATATTAGTAGCGTATGGTGTGACCACTGTTCCACGTAATGTAAGAATGTTTATCCATAAAAAATATTTAAAAGACACGCCAGTCTTGTTCTTTTTTTTTGCTTTTTTTTTAAATTGAGACACAGGCTGTGATTGGCGAATGACAAGTAATTATAGAGCTTAATTTAAGAAAAATGGAATTACAAATCAAATGCATGTGAAATGAATATTTGCCTTATCACTAATTGTAAGATATACTTTATTCAATCTTGTATCTGCATATTATAAATATGATCTGTGTATAAAATAGATGAGTAAAGTATATTACTAGTGTATATGCGTGGAATATTCTATAAAGTATTGTATCTCAAAGCATTTATTAACATTGAATCCATTGTAATGTTGTACAAAAGTTTAAATACATACAGATGTGCTTCTCATTGTATAATACTTTATTTGTGGGAGATCGAGAAATATATAGAATACTCACCGAGAAATGTATATAATTCATATTTTATATAAATGGCGTAATGTTCAAAAAAATGGAATATATTTTCCTTGCTCTAATTAGTACATTAATATTATCAAATGTTATTATCGATCAGAGACCAATACAATGAAATATTTAATTAAACATATTAATTTAAGAAGCCGCATGTTACGTATTAAAGAAATTGCAAGCAATTATGAAATCAAAGCGAAAGTAAAAATTTCTTTTCCTTTTTCTTAATGAATTAACAACGTCCTCTATCTTGTACGCGTTTTCTAGGAGCCGCGCGCAAAATATCGTCCACCCGAAGTATCATTTCTGCTGCTTCGGCTGCACTCACGAGAACTTGCCTCTTCACTACCCAAGATTCGGTGATTCCTAGCCGCTTCATACAACCGACTTTGCCCATTTCCATATCTGCAAGATCGGAGAACAAATTTAATTTGATATTCTGTCGTAAAAACTAGCGTGATCTATTATACGATTACAAAAATATTATTTTTAGCGATAAAAAAAAGCGATAAGAAATAAAAACTCACCTAATCCCATGGTGTTGCTCCCGGAATTGTGTGCGGCTCTCAATTCGCTGACCAATTGCGCCGAATCATAGCCAGCATTATCGGCGATAACGGTTGGCAATTGCTGCAACGCTCGTGCAAAGGCTTCCATCGCAACGGCCTCTTTACCCGGCGTGGCTGCGGCCGCTCGCATAACGGCGCAAGCCATAATCATTTCGCTGCATCCACCTCCATAAACTATTCTCGACTCGCGTACCGTAGCTGCTAAAACGCAGAGCGCATCGTGCAGCGATCTCTCGGCTTCGTCGATGATCTGCTGCGTTGCGCCACGAATAATGACAGTGCACGCTTCACCCAGCGGAACTCCGGAGAATCTTAGAAGTGTATCTTCTCCTATCATAACCTGAAACAATATAATGACACAATTGATTATATAATTAAAGTTTTAACGAAACTAACAATAATCACAAACATTAAGATATAAGAGTGCTTTCCCATATGGAGCATTCTACGTGAATTAAAATAAATCATAAATTTACCTGTTCGATAAGATCGCATTTTCCCAGTTTGACTAAATCTGGATTGTCAAAAGTACTAACAATCTCGCCACCAGTAACGAGTGCAAGTCTCTCGATACCATCGAAATCGGCGTGCTCGATAGCCATAATTCCGGCATCAGCAAATAATTGTTCGGGATAATTGTATATCAATTGCCTATTGATAAAGACGTTGCAACCATGCTTCAAGATTTTGTCAACCTTATCCTGTGGGGATAATTATTACAGAAAATTATTACATACCAATTATAATTTTATAAATATGCATAAAAACCTTAAGAGATTTTTATTACCTTCATCTTTTCTTTCTCCGCAGTTTCCAACTCTGCTATTTTTGCCATTGAATCTACACGTACTCTGGAACCAAATACCTACAAAAATAAATAAATGCGTGTAGTTTTAATCTATTAATTAAGAAAAATGTCTTATGTACAACAGAAGAATATGAACCTTGATTTTATCCGTGTCCATAGACGTATTAGCGATAAGTATACGCGCGTCAGAAATTTTTTGTGGTTGGTGAACACCCGGTTTCTTATCCAATAAGAATCCCTCGTCCAAAAAGGAATCGGCGAGCGTTGCGCCGCGTTTCTTTATAACTTGAATCGCGGACAGATTACCGGAGCCTTTAAGGCGCAACACCGCGTCGACCGCGAGCTTGCTAAAATGCTCCTTGTGTTGGGACAAGATCTTAGAACTCAACGTTGTACGAGCGATATTCAGCAAATCCTCTCGAAAACGATCGGCATCCGCAGAATTGTCTATGGCTGCATTCTTTAGAGCCTCATTCGCTGCATTTGTAGCATTCCTCCAACCACCGATGATAGTTTGTGGATGAATCTTTTGATTCTCAATTAACTTTTCGGCTTCTCGCAAAAGTTCCGCAGCTAGAAACAGATAAAAAAAATTAAATGATATTTAAGATCAAACAATAAAATGATATTTAAGATCAAAAGTTCACGAATAATTATATTGTGCATACCGAAAACAGTAACCGAAGTAGTACCATCGCCCACTTCGTCATCCTGGACACGAGACATTTCTACCAAAATCTTGGCAGCCGGATTATCAACGCCGACGCTCTTGAGAATAGTGGCACCATCATTAGTGACATGCACCTGTCCTGCGGACCTGCCATGAGACACGAGTATCTTGTCCATGCCCTTGGGACCGAGGGTGGATTTCACCAGATCTCCAATGGCTATCACTCCGACAAACGAGCTCAATCTCGCAATCTCCGCCTTCTCTTCTCCGGCCTCATTTTTGAGGATCCGCACTGGATTTAGGGAGACCTTAGAATTAAACAAGATAAAACGATTATCATTTAATTATCCACAATACAATTTTTTTATTCTAAATGAAATCGCAACCGCTTTTAGAGGTTAACATTTACG